AGAACGTACCGTGCGGCGGCGGCGGGGAGGGCCGGGTGGCAGGGAAGTGCCGGTATTAAGCAAACGGATGCGGATGGAGTGTGCCGTAGTTCACGTCTTGGCGCCCTCTCCTCTCCATCAGCGCGGTAAACGGGCTTGCACGGTCTCTTCCTGATGCAAAATCACCTGAGGTTCTTCCACTTGTTAGACTTTGTTACGGTTAGAACTAGTTAAAGGTGGTTGGATTTAAACAGCTTTCAAGAGAGAATTAGTGTAGTAAATAAAAAAAAAATAAAATTGAAAATCAGTCATTTCCAAGTGTTGTGATAGCAGAGAAATGAACATTTTAAAATTAGGCTACTTGAGTGCCTGTGTGCTGACGGGAAGGAAATGCTCCTGTTGATTCGGTAAGGGAAATGGTCCGTTTCTTGTATTTATCCCGAACTGAAGTTGAAACAATGGTGCTAGCGAGGCCCTGCGCCCCGTACAGCACAGCAGTTAGTGTGCGCACCACCCAGGAATCGAAGCCCTACCGCTCCCCATACCAAACCTGCTAACCCCTGCAGGGGCGCTTCGACTCTTTTTGAAAGCAGCACCTTGAAAAATCTCTTCAGGATCAAATCTGGACGAGGGGCAACACCGACGTGATAATGGGAGGCTTCTCTCACATCGGTATATTTTCTTCCATATGATCACTGCACTTATCACAGAATAAAAGAATAAAATTCACATATGTAGTCATTGGATTTACAGTGTTTTGCTGGTGGTGGTTTCAGAAGTTAAATGGGCTGTGATGGTGAGAATCATCTTCCTCTCTCTTTTTTCAGCTGTATCTACTGGATTTCTCTTCTGAACTTCGAGTAACAAATCAGCAGAGACACATGAACGATTTCTAGACTAGAAAGATTTCTCTAGGCGTGTTAGGATTTTTTAAACTAACTCTGAGTCTGCACAATCACACCCTTCAGAGAGTGAAAATCGGTATTGTTCTCTCTGGGAACACTTCTTTTGTCAGCTACATTTTCAATAGTCTGTATTAGATCTGTGAAAAAGATCTAATGAAGAAGAGACCTGCTATAGAAAGAAACCGTGCTCTACGAACCCAGTTCAGGCTTGGTCTCCCACATAACTGCTGTTTCAAGACCAGCTAACAATGTTTGTGACTACAAATGACACACAATGATGTCAAAAACGTATCTAAAAAACACTTCTAATTTGTAATACACAATGTATTGCATACTTGCTTCCCTATGTTTTTGTTATTTCTCGCCTTCATGTTACCTTTTTTCCCTTCTGACTCCTCCCCACTCTCTTGATTTTTGCGATCACAGTCTGGGCTAAATTAGCAATAATGTTCTTCAAAAAAGTTATCCACAAGAGAACACAGTAGCGCGGTTTACTTGTACAAGTTCCTTGATTAACTGTGATTCTATTTTCTTTTTCTACTAACTTGGAGAGACTCTTCCCTCAAGATTTGAAATTTTAATTAATATATTCTTCACCTTCCTTCCACTTCTAAATCAAGAGCAAACCGTCTAGCATGGAAGGTGTGGCTAGAGCCAAATGGTGTTTTGACATAGTGATATGCTAATGATATGCCACAGTTGTTATTTAGTCTGTAGCGACAAACAGCTTATAGACCGAGGGCTTTCACGGTTGCAATTTGGCTATGAAACCGTAAGGTCCTGTGAGGGAGGGCTGCTTCCACCTCAGTATTCCCAAGAAGGGAGATCAGTTGATGTTGGACTTTACTCAGGGCCATCTTCAGTGTCACAGCCTTGTAAGGAGCTAGCAGGGAACATAAGGAGTATGAAAAAGTTTAAAGTTTTAAATAAAAATTGTGAGGTGGCTTTCCTTGAAAATAAGGAATCTTCTTCCGTGTGCTCAAAAATTACAGACTTAAAAGGAGTTTGATGGAAAGTGGTCATTAACAACCAAGATTTCTTCTTCTGGTTTATTTCTTTGAAAATTATTCACCAAATATTTGGCATTTCTTAAGAAAAAAACACCAAAAAAACAAGGAAGGACGAATGTACTTTGTATTAATTGAGAAAACAGTGCTCAACTTTACAATGACCCAACTACTCCAGTTGAGTTGCGGCAAGGGTATATGACAGGATCCTGGATGTTCTTCTCGGGCCAGAATGATAAGCTGTGGAATATGATGTTCCACATACGACAAAGTAATAATTGGAAAACTCATAATAATTTATGCTATTGTTAAGGTCAGTGCTTAAGAACAGTTCGGCCTCCACACTTTTTAGAAAGGAATTTTGTATAAAAACCAAACAGAAACGGGTTCTAATCACGGCTGGGGCCTTTGCTGCTAGCATGCCTTGATCATTAATGACATTTTATTAAGGCATTCAAAGTGAGGAAAGAAAAGCGTGAAGGGAAACATGTGATGCATGTCTCTTTTTGTTGACTTTACTTTTACTTTCTGCGTATCTTAGCAGAAAAAAATATTTTAGTAGAAAGAGCAACTACAATTCTTAAAGCACTGATCTGCTCTGGAATTCTGGAAGTCAAGAAAGGTCAGCACTGCTGATGCGACTCCTCTGCCTTTTACTTGAGAGCCGTTATGTCTAACGAGACCCCTCTTGCTGTTGCTACCCACTTGTCTACGAGCACTCTGGAAGCTGTAGATTTGAGCTGCAATCCACAGGTGGAGGTTTATTTTCAGATCTGCATCTACAGCTGCCGTGTTAGGACTCGAAATTGCTCTGCTGACGCCTCATTCAGCAGTTGGCCACGCCTAGCGCCTAACACGGGAGAAGGTACAGGGAAACCTGCTGCGTCGGCAGCACGCAGACGTTGGTTTGAGCTCTGTAATTAAAAGAGAAGACGTTGGATGTACACCATTTGCTAATAATGACTTTACTAACAGCGCTGGAGAGACCATTTTAACTCACGCTGCTGCTCAGAACTCGCTTGAAAGCAGCACCGCACGGCCGCGCTTCCCTCCCGCCCAGTTGTTCTTTTCCAGCCCTCTGGACACCACCTCGGGACTGCGGCGGGCAACGACACCACCCCCGGCCCTTTCGTAACCAACAGCACGGACCTCACGCTAACACGGGAC